GACATCACTTCATGGTTAAAGGCCTGGTATAGTACTGCTGTATAAACATAGGCCTGGTATGACATCACTTCATGGTTAAAGGCCTGGTACAGTACTGCTGTATAAACATAGGCCTGGTATGACATCACTTCATGGTTAAAGGCCTGGTGCTATATGACTAATTCCCTTATAAACTGGACTTACGGCAATGTAGACAGATCCAAGGCAGCACAGCATGCTGCCCAGACACAAGGTCCACGCCAGAAGGTGTCCTGCGACCCAGGCTAATCTCCTCATCAGACCAGGCCTGCTTTCTTTGGTCACCACCTGCAGCAGCTCCTGAGGAAAGAGGCTCTCGTGTTTCGGTTCTGCAAAGACTTTCACAAGCAACAGCACCAAATGAATTATTAAGAAAAAGATGAAAATGTTGGTGTGGGAAACAGGAGGCATGGTCATGAAACAAGCGGACAGTGGTTTTCCGTGAGGTTGCTGTTGGTTCTTTGTGATGGAAACTGTAAGTGCACCTACCTGTGCTTGTGAGACCCCAAATATTACCTTCAGTTGTGTGTAGATACTCTCTGCCTGCAGTTGGATGGAATCCATCGCGGTGACTTTGAAGTCCCAGGAGCAAAACGTCTTGGTGGCCGTGTCACTCCGGTATTTTCGCTTGTCAAAGCTCCCCCCGTATGACCTGAACATGCTACCAGGACAGCAAACACCTTCTCAGACTTGACAAACTCAGTTTCAGTCTATTTTATATAACGTTTCATGGAAGAACCCATTTCCTGTTGTAGTGAGCTCATACAAACAGTTCTTTTAAATCTTGATTTGAATGGAATATAACATTAAAAGTGAAATAATATACAATTATTATGCAATAATAGATACTTTATTGATCCCATGGGGAAATTCTCTTCACGCCTTCCCCGGCTTGTTCTCTATAGGTGAGAGCAAGCTGGCCATGAAGGGCAGCCCCCCATAGCAACACCTGGGGGGCTGGGGGTTAACAGATCAAGGACTCACAGATGTAGTGAGGCTGGGCTGACCATCTGACCACAGGTACAGAGGCTGAACTTTCAGTTCAGTTTCAGAATCTTATAAATATCATTTAATAAAATTCACAGCCAGGACATCATGCCTGTATGTTCATGTGCAGCAGCTGCAAAGTGTCTG